TAACGTTTGAAACGTCAGTAAGTTATTCACTCATTTTTTTTACTTTTTACACATCTGTTTCGTTAAAAATCATACCACACGAGAAGGTCGGTAAAAACAACATACTGCAAGTAAAATACGGTGTTAAAATTGAATATTAGCTCCATACCTGGCCCAAAGATGCAAGTGACTCCAGAATCATACAGGAATTGATAATCTTGAGGGGGAATTACACCGCCACACACTACCACAATGTCACTGAGAAGAATTTTGTTTGATTAATTAATTTTTGTGAGAGCGTTCYGCTTACGAGAGCGTCCGTAGGAGGAAATTTCAATKCTTKGCTCACCTTCGTCCCATGTTTGCCATTTCTGCTATCAGTGCAGGTAGAAGTGTTTTATGGCCAGCAGCTTGTGAGCTGACCCCYACMACGTGAACATCAGCATCCACCGCTTGTTGTGCCACTTCCGTTGGTGTCTGTAGASAAAGAGAAAAATGCTGATTTTTTATTCATCTTTCTCTTAGAGAGACGAAATGGTTTGGTGATGGACGGGTTCATCATAAATGCAAGACAACTCTCCCAGTACCTTGTTTACAGGGATATGACTAAAATGCATAAATGCACCGATATTCAACTGAGGTAGGAAACGGATCTTCAGCCAGTAAGTGTGTCCAGTAAGTGTGCATGGCCTGTAGCCACTTTGCGCATTGAGGTGGGAAACATAAAATYTATATGAAGCTGTTACAATCGTTGTAACAAATGAAGGAACGTCATGGCTCCTCCTTAGTAATCACCGAAATCTTTACTATWTAYACGTCCCCTTGCAATGTTGTCTTTTGTTTGCGATTGAAACATATCTGAAAGCATAGATATGACTTGTCGCGACGACCCAAACATTCAGATACAAGGGTAGGATGATTCTTCAGCTGACAACCTATCACGAACTCTATGAGCACTGAACAGTTAAGTGAAGTAAAATATTACATATAAATTGCTTGTGGTTTTAAAAACTCCCTCGATTTATCTAAAGTTTGTAATRATTGCCATAAATCACAATACCTGAAACAAAGGTCCGATATCAACGTCAAATCCAAGGTCAGCAAATCCAGTCGCAATGACCTTRGCTCCTCTATCGTGGCCATCTTGTCCCATTTTAGCTACCAAGATTCTGGGACGRCGACCCTCWGACTCGACAAACTCCTGGAGTTTAGAAAGAACATACCTATTAATTCTTCAATTGTGTGATATTTGATCGATGCTCTCCATTAAGTGAAACAAAAGAACATAATATAAGGTTTAGACATAAAAAGAGCAAAATGAAATAATTATAACATGAAATAATAATAACTGATTAAATTCAGGCACTCATGAAAACAAAGAAACGTCAAAAGGAAACCATGTGATGCGTTTTCGAAGCATTTTTGCATGTTTTTTATTCTCCCGAGAAACAATAGAAAACGCCCAAAAATTGACGGAACCAATGTGGACGAGTCCTAAGGATGGCCGAGCTGTTAAATCACCWGTCTGACGCCGATGTGTTTTGTTGTAGTTCTCTGTTAAATTAAAATGAAATATAACGTCCCGGATTTACCTCAACTTTCTTAATACACTGACATATTTCATCAGCTTCCCCGTAYTCTGTCTTGTACGCCCCGCTGACCATACGATCGCTGGCGATGTGTCTTCCAGTAACCTGTCAACAATACAATGATGGATGTAATTTTGCTTGATCCAACAGTTAGAATAAGGCCGAGGCTTAACTGTACCTTTTCTATGGCATGGGTTATTTCTCCTACCGTACAGCGCACACGTGAAGCCTGTGAAAACAGTTCCAAGTTAATTTCTAAGTGTATTTTGCTGTTTCACAATATGAATTACAAACCATGACAGCAAGTTCCAGTAGATTTCCATCACCAGTTTTAGTTGCCTCTGAGAKAGCGTCAAGGGCTTTCTCTACCTGTACAATAAGAATATATGGATATTTAAAAATCGTTTGTTGGAGACTATATGACACTAGGTATTAATACACTACATTACCATTATAGTCATTATGTTTCTTATCGAATAAAAGTTATTCGAATTACCTCTTCGTCATTTCGATTGGCTCTAACTTTCCTCAATTTCTCAAGCTATAAAAAACAAAAAGTTAATCTTTCAAACATAACTTGAGCTGAATTCAGAGCCAACGTTTCTGCACCTGTTGTTCTTTAACACGAGTGTTGTCTACAACAAGAACTTCCACTTCATCTTCGTGTGATAAACGATACTTGTTGACTCCAACAATGGTCTCTATCGATTTAGACAGGCATAATATTACAGTAAATGCAATGATAATGCACACAAGTGAACAAATAAAGAACGACAATAACATAGTATAGTGTGAAGGAATCTCGCACGCTGATTGGTTGATTTGTTGATTTTGTTGCGAGCCAAGTTTCAAATATCGAAGAAAAACGAGAAACAAAGCCAAAATTTGTATCTGAAAGTAGAGCGAGAGTCTACTTTGCGCAACAAGTTTCTTCATCTCGCAACAGAGGATTTTGTTGCGTGCCAAGTTTATCACGTGCGATGAAAAACGAGAAACATCAAACCTAATGCACTAGTCAATTGAAACCCCCGACCCCCGGGGAATACCGGGGAATTTAACATTTGAGTGGTGTTTAAATAAGACATTTCCCCCGGTAGTCGGGACACATTCATTGTTAAAATCCCCGCTACTGTTGCCCCGCTACTGCTGCCCCGCTATTTTAGTCTGCTAGTAAATAACAAAACAAACACCTTCAACCAAATTTTCTGTGATACACAGGGTTAATTTTTGTATAATCCTGTGTACTCATTTGCGTACTACATGAGGTTTACTGGACAGAGAAAAAAAATGTGTAATAAGTCACAAATTTTATGCAAGGAAAAATAAACACATAGAAAAGCGGGGATGAATACCAATGCCTTCAGGGTATTTCTCAAGATGGCCGACGTCTAGTTTCCAGACTCATACATGTTTAAAAGAGCGTTAAAATCCCCGCTCTTTGCCCCGCTTCGAAAACAATTCATCAAAATCCCGACCCCCCGGGGCAATGTTGCTGTTAAAAGCACGTTAAAAATGCGTCACGTCCCCGTTCAGTGCCCCGCTAGCCCCGGGGATCGGGGGGCGGGGCTTTCAATTGACTAGTGCATAAACTTGAACAGAAACAATGTTGCGTGCAAGGTGGTTTTTGTATCTCGTATTTAGCCGCCTTAGGGTTAGCCCTATGGCCTCGTAAACGCAGCAATTCGCACAAAATAAGAACAGTACAAAACAGTACAGATAGGCAGTAAATAGAGACCGTAGGTAGACCGTACCCGTACACGTAAATACGGTTAAACTACCTCGTACATCGGAGAAATGGGTAGGTCACCGCGTAAGCAGATTTACATTTTGGAAGCCATGGACGTCTTTTGTATAAACTGCGAGATAAACATGCCTATCTACCCGTACACTGAAAGAGTGTATCTTAAGATCTCTAATATTGTGTGTGGAGCCATATTGAAAGAAACCAGAAGTGAGGAAATTGCATTAGTGATTTTCCAACTAAAAAAAAACTAAGCAATAATATGATCACAGATAAAGTGATTACCAGATCCAGAGTCAATTCTTGCTTGCCGTTTTGCTGCACATTCTTCAATACGCAATTTTGGCATTCCAGCTGCAACAGCCTTTGCCATTCCACCAAGCTCCTCCACCTACAACAGATCATAAAACACACCGGTGAATGGCTTTACATGTACATGTACTGAAATTAGAGATTGAGTGGCTATAGTCCCTGTGTTTCTCACTACATTTCATGTTGTCATTTCTAAAATACCTCATAATATAGCAAACTATATTTTCTGAACAGTCTACATGATTATTTAAACCTCTTTTATGGTAGTCAACAGCTTACCTCTTTGATGACCTCTAAACCTTTTTGATAGATCTCATCTGTCAAGCTCTCCATCATGTAGGATCCACCCCACGGATCTGCCACCTAGATATGCAATGCAATATGTATTTGTACTGACCAAATGATTCACAGAGGAGGGGATGGGAAATAAGGGAAGAATATTAATAGAAATTCCAAGTAAAGGGTTAATTATGGAGCTCTACTTTACTCCATTACTGCTCCAATTGAGATTTGCATTGAGGCAAGACATACAGTAGACTTACAGTGGTTGAGATACCTTTTACTCATACATAAGGCAATTATTATTCACAGGTATCTATCATTGCAAGCGCAAACACTTCATCACTTTGATGCAAAGGTTTGGAAAACTTTGTCTTTCAAGATGACATCAGAAACAGTAAAATGAAGACTTTTGCACACTCTCTATATATTTTGTATTTCTTACATTGGGAATTCCTGACTCTTCTTGTAGAATAATCTGTGTGTTTCTGGCAATTCTGGCACTGAAGACAGTTGGAAGAGCAAGAGCTTCATCAAATGAGTTGGTATGTAAAGACTGYGTACCACCAAAGACTGCTGCCATAGCTTCTATTGCAGTACGTATGATATTATTGTAYGGATCCTGGAATATTAACAGTGCAAAGAATTCTAGAACCCAACTGGTCAAGTAGCTCTGCTATAAAAAGGGAAGATAAAAGTTTCTAGAAAGCGACAGTGATGACATCACAGGTCACTGATGTCATAGCAAACAAAAAATCGGACTGCCTTTCAATTACATTAATTGTTATATAATTTCAAGTATTTATGCCCAGCCATTGATATTTGGGCAACTAAGGTGGCTATCAGCCACAACTTTGTTAGAGGGCCAGGCAGATCACTTTTGTGAAAAGTCCACAGTACTTTATGTATAGGGAAAGACTGAGACAAGTTACTCAAAGGATTTGCTGTGTAAGATCACATTTAACAAGAAATACAGTAACATGCTTTTTGATTGCAGCTAAAGTACAGCAGCTTTATTGTTTTGTTTTATTGTTGGAAGACTTATCTATTGTTTGTCCATTGTTTTCTCAACCTAACATGAGACCCGTTCCATTCAGTACTGACTGGCCCTAGAGACAAGGTTATCCCCCTCCCCCCTACCTGTTCAGTCAGTGACCACCCTGATGTCTGTGAGTGTGTCCTCAGCAGACATGACCTTGGATTGMTGGGGTCAAAGTTTTCTTTGATCAAATGAGCCCACAATCTTCTAGCTGCTCTCATTTTAGCAATCTCCATGTAGAAGTTCATTCCAACTCCCCAAAAGAAAGACAATCTTGGTGCAAACATGTCAATATCTAGACCAGCTTTGAGTCCTAATCAAACATAATTATATATGTTTAACACATAAAATCAAAAATTGATACTTTTTATAATTCAACAACAATTTTTCCTCTGCTCTCCTTAGTGGAGAGAGGTGACCAGGTGATGTGGTAGTGCCTGCGACAGATGGGTACTATCTGTATACAGGGCCCATCAAATAATATAAACAAAAGAGCAGTTGCCCTTTGAAACTGATGACCCAATGTGAGATTAGCTGTATTACTAAATTGTTTTTTTTTCATTGTTAAATAAAGTCTATTATTATTATTATAATTATTACTGTATGTTCCTCAAAACATCAAAGTCACCCTTGGACTGTGTTCTCGATCGACTATTTGTTTTTTATTCAAAAATCCAGTTTCCACCGGCAACTATCACTGCAAGATAATGCCCTTGATTCATCTACTCTATTGTTTAAATAGTATTTTGAATTAATTACTATATAGTAACAAATCTACTTGATGTACAAGATTCACAAGGGTTAATTATTTATTGAATKTATGGTATTAAGCAACGATTCTCTCTATCATGGAACCAACCTGTTCTGCAGTATTCAATGCCGTCTGCAATAGTAAATGCCATTTCTAGGACTGCATCAGCACCAGCTTCTTGCATGTGGTATCCTGATATGGAAATACTGTTGTACTTGGGCATACACTGTATAAAATAACAAAACAACATGATGGTCAGCATTCTAAATATCATTTTTTTTGTTATATTTATTTATTTTTTATCAAGTTTTCCTTTATGACTGTAATTTGATCAAAAATTTTTTTTTATGAACAGGAAATGCTTTGCAGRATATTTATATTTGTGCTTAACAAAAATCTTGCTGAGAGCAAARCAGGCTACAGAAAAGAGAGATTGAAAAAAATCTATGAAACACGATGAGTTAATTTCATAAGTTGTTTGTATTTTCCRATGGAACAAAACAAGTAGAAAATGTTTTCCCTTACACCACTGAGGTCTGAGACTGAGCATCCTTAGYATTCTMAGTGTTGTAGTTACATGTAATTGCTTTGTCATAGACAAAGCTCTTTACAGCATGATAATTTGCATTGAGTCAGTTAGCTTGACAATACCTCTAAATAGTATGTGAGAAAGTCCCTAATAAAGGAAATAGCTTTACAGCAATAGAGCAACAAAGCAACTAACCTGCGAAGTATATGCAAAAATATCTCCAATGATCCTCATTGATGTTTCAGGAGGGTAGATATAGGTATTCCTGACCATGAACTCTTTGAGAATATCATTCTGAATTGTGCCTGCAAGTTGCTCTGGCTTGGCTCCCTAGAAATTACAATAATACTAATTCTCACACACCATTATTGTCTAGCCATCCTCGGGAACCCAGGGGTAATCTTCTGTCGTTCGTTCCTCACTTCTGGGAGTGAGGAACGAACGACAGAAGATTACCCCTGGGTTCCCGAGGATGTTGTCTAGCTGACTACCGCCAACAGACTATTGCAAAATAATACTAATGATACTAATAATATATCTGACATGAATTTCCATAATACAATCATAAAATTTGACAATAAAATATATGTAGGTAGGGAAGTCCCTATAAAATGAATGACTTGAGGGAATCCCCATATAATATGTAGGGGAATCTTCATACTGTCAATGTAGTATTACCACTGACATTCGTGCTAGTGAAATGCTTGTTTTACAATTCAGTAGTGCAGCTAAACAACTGCACATTGTATAATGGTTTCATTGTTTATATACCTGTTCCTCTGCTGCAACAATGTACATTGCCAGGACAGGAAGAACAGCYCCATTCATTGTCATAGATACTGACATCTTATCCAAAGGAATTCCATCAAACAAAGCCTGWTGAACAACAAATTGCATAAAATATTGAAATACATAGAGACATAAATTTCTTAAATGATATCCATCACAAGCAAAGCATTGAACGGAGATAAAAAAGTCAATAAATTATTGTTAGTTATAGATAATATTGCATTATTACCTTCATATCTTCAACAGAGTCAACTGCTACTCCTGCCATTCCTACATCACCCACCACTCTTGGATTGTCAGAGTCATACCTTGGATTGGAAATAATGGTAAAATTTACAAAAGGTTTGAAAGTGGTTCATATTTTGTTTGTCAGTACCCTCTGTGAGTTGCCAAGTCAAACGCTACACTGAGACCCTGTTGTCCTGCTTTGATGTTGTCCTTGTAAAACTTGTTGCTTTCCTCTACTGTACTAAAACCAGCATACTAAAAAAATATTCAATTATGCTGTTTATTGACAGAGTAAAATACGGTGGTACATATAAAATTATTACGCATTCAACTATTAAGATCAATCTTGGCCATAGTAAAAATCTCTATTTAGCCCTTAATTTAGMAGCCAACCTCTGTTAAATGACTACTTTGGGAAAGTCATAAGGGTGACCTYTTAAWATGGAGGTAGAAATGTAGGACAGCTTAGGACTTGTTTAATGTGTTAACACATGTATGTATGTTTAGCAAATATTATTGTCATCTCATTGAACTGTGTAAACAAGAAGCGAAAACAAGCCCTATGTACACTAGTTTTGAGTGTGATAGTCCTATAAATTTTGAATTATATTTATATATTTGTAAGACAACTGTTTGCATTAGATATCTTCTATAAAAGCACAAATATTTGCAATAAAATATACCTGTCTAATGGTCCATGGTTTATTGGTATACATGGTAGGGTATGGTCCTCTGGTATAAGGGTATTTACCAGGAATTTCCTCTGGCGTATGTTCAGTATCTCGACTTGTATAAAGTGGCTTTAATGATATGCCCTAAAAGTATTCAAGTATGCTGGTATTTGAGTCTCTATAACAATAATCAATAAGTAATGATGTCTGATATTCTTTAAATGTTCAGTTTTATTCTTTTCAGAATACTGTAACCAACCTCTGGTGTATGCCATGTTAATGTTTTCTCTGGATCACCACCTTTGAGCTGTTTTCTTGCAAGTTCAGCCCATTCTGGGTGAAGAGGTTCACGGTGGAGGCAGCGTCCTTTGGAGACCTAATGAACAAATGCAGTTAGTATATACATTTGTCCTCACTGGTGTATAATGTACATGTCTACTGACAATTAGGTGGATGTACAGATATTTAGTATAGTTTTGAAATGTTGTATTGCATTGATCACTAAGTAACCAGTTAACTAAAGTGAAAGTGAAATATCACTATTTTAACAAAAAAACACACAAAAAAAAAAAACAACATAAAAACAACACAAAAACAAATACGAACAGACAAAAGATTAGATAGTCAAATCGAAATGCATAATATTGTACATAGTATTGTACAGGATTTTCAAGGATAACTTCCAATTTTAAGCTTTAAAAGGCCCATTTATCTCGCTGTAGTAACAACGAAAACATGTACAACATTTTGACGTTCACTTAAAGTCATTATGTAAAACACGGAAAGAAGCCAAAAAAGAGAGATCTCAGCTCAGCAAAACACCTACCATGCATGTTGACAGTGGTGTAAAGAGATGAATCTTTCGCTGAAGTCCAATACAGCGCAACATGATGGACAATCAACAACAAAATTGTGCTCTTTTACATTTGTACCTCGAGAGGATCAGCTTCTTCTTTACTGCCCTCGATCTCATGCTAATTCGAYTACCGCTGACCTGACAAGGAAAACACTTACCAGACACTTACCATCGACACAGGCAGCAAAGAGAGGGTATTTACAGACTGGCAGGCTGTAGCTATTAAGGCCTATTAATATTTCTATTCTATAAATTTCTGACATAAGGCCAGACAAAATGAAAACATTTTCATKACTGACATTTTACTTTGTTTACGAAACAAGACGAAAACGTTTGTCGGAAAGCCGATTTTACATAAACTCGCACTAGATCGCATCGATACAGATACACACTAGAAAAAATTGCGCACCATAAAGGTTGTAAATTTGATAATAATATAATGTAAGTGTCCAAAATGATGTAAATTTGATGTAAATGATTTCCATCAAATTTCCATCATTTTGGACACTTACAACATATTTCCATCAAATTTACAACCTTTATGGTGCGCAATTTTTTCAGTGAGGTGGGAAGGGATGGGAAGCTGTTTTTTCCGAAAACAAATAAAAATTAGAATCGACACCGCGTAACACTTATTACAGACACATTACATAATAATAGACCGCTTGGCAAGTCTAGCGGCCGGTTAGCTTACTCCTTTTCTCAGGACTTTTTCGTTTCGCGGCGAATCTGGATAGCATGGACTGAGCAGAAATATCTAAAGGCCGAAATTGACGGCACAACTTYTGTCTATAATATATTGCATGCTACCTGCCCAAGTCATCTTCACAACATCAATGACTACAACGGTCGTGTTTTAGGGGAATCGTGCAAATGTTTTTGACTTTGTTTGGCGCAGGGGCGCGTCCCGGTATGCATTAGGCTGATCAAATCTCCGTTTTTTTTCTCACTCTCTCCTTTTTACCACGTGTCAGTTTTTTTATTTCCTGTTTTTTGTTTACTTTGTTGATTTCATAGTTTGTATATTTGAGGAGCGAAAAATACAACTTATGAAATCATGTCAAATCTGGCTATGATATTTGAGGGTCCTGAAGGGGTAAAAATGGGACTGGGATTTGCTTCATTTTGGAATGGGAAAATGGGATATAATGCACTGGGACTGGGATTTGATGCACTGGGAATGTGATTTAAAAATACAAAAACAATAGAAAATGGGAATGGGATTGAAAAATTGATCAAAATCGATGGGATTATGTTGAATCACTAGATACTACATCAGTGTCAGAAAATGCGTTTCCTTGGTTCCACAGATCAATCATGTTAATATTTGTACTGATAGTTTTAACTATCAAAAACTAAAAAAAAAACTAATTGCGCACGGTTTTGAGTTGTGTTCTTTTTGTGTGTCAATTAAAACTGGATGAATCAAACAGATAAATATGAGGGTCCTGAAGGAGGGGTCCGAATCCCATTTCTCATTTTTTATATTTGGCCAAATCCCAGTCAAAGCCAGATGAGACTTATGTCAAAACCGTGCGCAATTTGTTAACTATCAGTACAAAAATTAACATGATCGATCTGTGGAACCAGGGAAATGCATTTTCTGACACTGATGTAGTATCTAGTAATCGTTTATGAAAAGATACGAACCCGAATAAGAACGTGTCCGCAGAAGAAGAAGGCACATTGGTCCGCACGACGGATGTGCAATACTGGCGTCCAAGAGATCGAAAGAGTGCGAGACGAGAAATGCAACCAGTTTCTGAGGTGTATTTTTTTATTCTAATAAATGTCAGACAGATATGTT